GACCTTGAATTGAGAACGAGAATTGTGATTTGTGTTCACTTCCCTGATCTGCTAAATGGACAGAAATTATAATTTTGTAGAATTATTACAGATGCAGATGGCAAGGGTAGCCAAGTATTTGGAAAATTGTAGATATATATAAATACATACATAAAATAATGGTGATTTGCCTGCATTGATGTGAAAAAGTGATTGACAAAACTACTACTATTTTTTATCTTGCCTTGGCAGAAATACTCCTCTGATCTCAATTGCTTAGTGGCTCTGCAAGAACTTTACAACTATATTAACAAATACTATGACCAGGTATAGTAACACATTTACTGGAACTTAGCCATGGGGAGTGGGGAGACAATACTTACAATGGTTCATTTAGTGACCGTTCAAAGTTACAACGTCACTAAATTTTCTCACATAAGACCATTGTAGCAACCCCATGGTCACATGATTAAAATTAGGATGCTGGGCAACTGGTTCATATTTATGACCATTGCAGCGTCCCGGAGTCTTTTGACAAGCAAAGTGAATGAGAAAGCCAGATTCACTTCACAACCCTGTTACTAATTTAACAACTGAGTGATTCACTTAACAACTGTGGCAAGAAAGTTCGTAAAATTGGGCAAAATTCACTTAACTGTCTCATTTAGCAACAGAAATTTTGAGCTCAATTGTGGTCGTAAGTTGAGGACTACCTGTAGTTACTGTTGGTGATGGTGGAGATAGGTTGATCGCAGAAAAGGTAGCAAATTTTTTCTGAACAGGATGAGCAGGAATTTAACTGGTTTTTGTCGGTATGTGTTTTTTGCAGATAATCAGTGCATTAGAAGAAGATCCATTGGGCCAAAAGATGCAGCTAGCATATCGACTGCAACAGATTGCAGCTCTTGTAGAGAACAAAGTGACTGACTTGTAACATTCCTAAATCAGCTGTCTACCTAGATCCAACACCACTAACTAGAAACCTAAGCATATTTACTCAAAAGTAAATCTTCCCATGTTCTGCAACTACAGAAGGACAAATAGACCTATTCTGAAAATTTTCCACTATCCATTGATCAGCAACATTTTCAGGTGCCAGACAGCATTGGACAATCTCCCTCAGAGGCATCTAAAATAATTTAAAATGGCCACCACACTGCTTCCCTCCTTCCACCCCCAGTGCCTTAACTGCATGGATGCTATAAGGCTCTTTTGCACTTGGTGCTCATTCTGTCTTTTATAAAAAAAAAATTAACTGCAAAGGGAGTAATCCCTGTTTGGAACACTGGCTTTGTAAATAAAAATGGTGTATTTATTTTGGACACCCTACAAGAAGGGTGTCAAATTACAGTGTCCCCCTTTTGAGCAGTGCGCGTTAATGGGCCATTCTGTGCTGGCCACTACAGATTGAGGATTGGGGGAATTTTATCCCTTCCGGACCTCATTTCCTTCTTATAATGCACTAATATTGCAATTGGTGATAATACCATTTTTTTTAAAAAAAATTATTTGTATAAAAATTATACTCTAATTGGTCTTTATTTTAACTCTTCTTATCTATTGTCCTCTCCTCCCCAATTTTATGTATATATGGGAGTCTTCTGCTCTGGGATTGTATTTATTTTAATGACATTTTGAAGAATTAAAAAAACTTTTCAGAAAAATACTGTTGTCTGATTTACTTGCAGATTCTAAGATGGGGTTTACAATCTGCTGTGCTAAAATTGAATGCAAAGTTATTATAATCCATAATCTTTTAATATGGCAGAAGCAGAAAATTATGAAATACACAAAGAAAATAATAAGTTTAAGAATTCTTCCTGGCACTTTATCTAGATGTAAAGGATACTTTTCTATATCTTTTCTATTACTTTTTAAAATTGCAGCTATATTAATTGTTTTCCAATTCTTGGAAATAAAAACTGATCGTCATCAATTTCATATTGGAATCCTTTAAGAATCCTGAAGTAGGCTTTGTCTAGATCTGGAAATATATTTATCTTTAATTTGTCAGTTAGATATATAATTTTAATCTGTTTTGTTTGCCCGAATTTATCTGATTCTTCTCCTTAAAAGATTGGTCAAGAAGTTGCAGGCAGCAGTGCATCTAATTCAAGGGGAAGTTTTCATTGGAAATGTTAAGCAGAGGTTGGATCATCATTTGTCAGGGATGTTTTAAACTGAAAAATTAGAGGATAGAGTAGAGGGTTTGAGCTCAAAGTCCTAAAGAACCTCTCCAAACTTTATCATTCTATAACGGTGATTAATGAGAGTGATTAAGATGAAAGGCAAGAGCTTTGGTCAGGGAGAGCGAACAGTTGAGCAAACTTAGATCTTTATCTATCTCTATTCTACATGCAAACATTATTTCTTTAAAAAGTTGAAGGCAGTCACTTATGCTTATTGACCATGGATATTTATCATTCCACTGAAGAGGGATGGGTCTATTTTTGGGAACCAATCAGGATTATATTTGATAATTTGGCAGAACAGTATTCCTAAATAGGATGTTTGATGCCTGTCACGATTATGAATCCTTGAGAAAACTACAAGGACTAAGATGTATTAGTATACATGTACACATGCACCAAGGCAGCAAAATAGTGGTGAAGCAGATAAATCATTATCCACCATCAATGGCAATGGTCATAAACTATGACTATTAGGCTAGCTTGGGAAGTACATACATATTCATACAATTTCCAGCATGTTAATTTGTCTACTATAGACAAAGAAATCTGGAGACGCTGCAAGTATTTCCCCAAATAGAATGCCCACTCTTATTAGTGATGAAACATTCTTAAAAAGCAAAGAGTGTAAGATAAAGATTCTACAAAGTTTGGAGTGACTTCATATTTTTTGGGTAACTTACCATAATAGTACTTTCTTCTGGGGTTATTCAACCTTTCAGTCTATCCCAAGCCCAGGAACTGCCCGGTTGTCTTCTAGTTGTGTATTAAGGAAACCCAACTTCACTTATTTTTGGAGCCCAAACAAGATCAGATGGGGGCAGTATGTAAAAAACAAGCAAGAAAGGTATAAAGGCCCATTTCTTGTAGCTGATGTGTCATGCAGAAGAATAATGCCTCTTTTAATGGAGTTGGGGATTCTTTCGGTGATTGATTTATAATAAAGCAATCCTTAGGTGATCTTAGGTAACAGTGCCCTGTGATGTCAGGCTGGCTACATGACCACAGAAATGTCTTTGGACAGCGTTGGCTCAATGGCCTTGAAACGGAGATGAACACCGCTCCCTATAATCGGCAAATACTAGGTGGAGTAAAATCTGCAGTGACACCTTTTAGCTGATCGAAGCCCTACTACAAATATGTGTCTTCACGTCAACGTCAACTCTAAGTGAATATTACATAGCTTAAATTCTTTAGAATGGTCTATCGCCAGCCTCTTATCTACTAAAACACAAGTGATATAATATTATTTCTTCACTAACTTCTTGTAATTTCAATTAAGATAATGAACTTATGAACTAATGAAACATATTACAAATTCAGTAACAAGATTGAATTTGTATTTAAAAGGTATTACAAATTCAATTACAGCATCCCACAAGACCGAAAGCATCATCCTTAAAGACTTTTTCCGTGTGAAGTTAGGATGGAAAAGAGATGGAAAAGTGTAGAAGCCAGATATCCAGGGCATAACCAGGAACCAGGGTGACGCAGTGGTTAGAATGCAGTACTGCAGGCTAATTCTACCCACAGCCTGGAGACTGGGGCTCAAGATTGGCTTGGCCTTCCATCCTTCAAAAGGCGGTAAATTGAGGAATGAGATTGTTGAGGGCAATATGCTGACACTGTAAACCACTCAGACTGCTTTAAAGCAGGGAGTCTCCAACCTTTTTGTTTCTGTGGACCAGTGGCGGTAGCTGTGGTGGTGGTATGGAATGGTTTTGAGCATGCAACCTAAATCCTGGTCATGCGCAAATGAAGCTTTGTGAGCTCATCTGCTGCTTTGGCAACCTGATTCCCAATGGATTGCAGGTCGGTAGTAGTCCTCAGCCCAGGGGTTGGGGACCCTTGCACTATGAAGCAGTATATAAGTCTAACTGCTATTGCTATATAGTGCCAAAAACCAGGATGCCAAGAATTCAGTACTTGAATGCTGAATTCAATATCTGAAATATGTCGCGTGTTCTACAGAATGATAGTTTGGGCTTCAAAGTTAAGTAATTTTTTCCAACACTTTTAAAAATATTTGCATTTAATTAAAAACCAGCTTTAGAATTGACAGTGAAGATACTGAAGACTGCTTCTGCCTTTTGAGATCAACCATCAACTGCAAAGGAACAAGCAGTCAAGGAATACCCCACAGACTAGCATTTGGCAGAGCAGTAATGAAAATCTTGGAAAAGGTATTTAGAGGCTGGGATGCGTCTAGATCATGCAAGCCATGATAGTCCCTGTAACTCTCTACGGAAGCAAAAGTTGACTTTCAGGGGGCAGGGTAGGAAAAGTATTAATACCTTTGAACCATGATGTTGGAGAATACCATGGATCGCCAAGAAAGCAAATCGACGGATCATTTAAGGAATCGATCCTTACTCGTGGCAGACGACCTGGCTCATATGATCACACTTGGAAACAATATGCAAAAACTTAACTCTTTGGAGAAGGCTCTAAATGCTGGGAATGGTGGATGGCTTCAGTTACAATGGCGATGGGTACGCCGTTATAAAGTCTTCTCAGACCTCTTCTCCCTCTTTTGGAGCGGGCCAAAGCTGGGAGTGGGCGGAGCAGCAAAGCAGCTCCAGGCTCCTCCCCTCTGGCCTCACGTGGTGGGGTAAAAGCCGCTCTTGCGGTTGGGAAGGGGCCGGATTGCGCAGGCGCAGCAGGGTAATCCTCTGCTTGTATGGAGCTCACCGGGGCAGGGGGGCCGATGAGCAGCAAAAAAGGTGAGTGGGGGGGCGGCGGGCGGGGCTGCCCTGGAAAGTAGAAGGGCGTGCGCGCGGGCGCTCGGGGGTTGCGGGGGACTGCTAGTGGTTGCACGGAGGAGGGGGCCGCAGCAGGTGCAAGAGAGGAGGTGGGGGGTTTCCACTTGGGCGGACCGTCTGCTGCCACTTATGCCGATCGCAGCCTTGCCCGCAAAACTTTTGCAGCGCGTGGGTCTCTGCAGCTCCGGCGCGCCGATCGATCTCGCGCTACTCCCCTCTTCCATAGGCCCGGGGAGCAGCCGCGGCAAAAAGAAGAAACATAAGAAAGAAAAGGCGCCGCCCCCTCCGCCGGCAGAGAGCGGGATCCCCACGGGGTGAGTGTGGAGCGATACGAGCGGTGGGGTTGGGGGTTGGGGGTCGAGAGAGAGAGGTTGCTGAATGCGGCCTCTTGAGGTTACCCGGGTGGGGTGGGGTGGGGGGCAGCAACCCTGCCTTCGGCGGAATGTGAGTAGGTGTGAACTCATCCTGCAAGTTGTGGCTCTCAACGCAACGTGCTTTGCACATCAGTTGCAGGTCGTCCTGCATGTTAAATTGGCTTTTTACAGAACGGTTGCAGAAGGAGATGCCCAGGGCTTGTTCACACGTGTAAACTGCTTGTTAGGTGTTTATGTATACGAACTGGCCATCATCACACACACACTCCGCCATAAGCACAGCTGATGAAAAGCAACTTTTTAGAGTTTTATGCAGATCAGAATTTTAGAAAAGTGTTGTTTTTTTACCCCCCCAGAAATGTTTTTCACCATAAAATATGTATCTCTTAATGTATATGTAAATAGAGACAATGCACATCAATGGGTTCGTGAAATTAGCCCCAATACTGTATAATTAGGGCTGAGAAGATGAAATAGTGGGTATAGATTTTGTTAAGTGGGCCTAAGCCTCTTACAGCAATAACTGCTGTAACTTTTTTTGTACTTCGAGTTTTTCTACTCAGTATCACTTCATTGATGCATGAACTAGTCAGAAAAGATGCTATGTAAGGTCATTCACAATTGTAGCAATAAAATAGTCACACTGTGCGCACTCTGACACTGAGTCTATACTAGGGTTCAAGTCTCCAATTGGCAGTCTGAAATCTCCTTTCACAGAAGCCCTTTGTGTCTATACAACCTAACTCTGCCTGCTGCCTTGGTTTGGTGGCTTCATAATGACTGCTGCCATCACCTAGCTTCTGTGGGGCACCTCCTGCCTTCTCCTAACCCTGATATGTGAGACCAATAGGGCTCCTACAACTTGTTTGTTTTCCTGGCAAATTAAAGGGGAAGGGTGGGGAGAAATAAACAAATCCTATATGTCAGGTTCTGCTCCTATAGCATTGAGACACATAACTTGAAGTCAGCCTTTCCTTTATGTGCATCACTTTCACAAGTGATAAGCAAAATCAAACTTCATTAAAAATGAGGAAATGAAAAAGTATATAAAAGTTTATTTAAAACTTGTTAAGTAGTAGCATGCAAAGCATTCACCACTTGAAGAGGTAAAATGTCAGTCAAATCACAGACAGCATTCTAAGAGAACCTCAAATAGAAAACCATAAAGGAAAATATAAGACTTCAAAGTAGATAACAAGATGATGCTGTCTACTCCTATTCTGAGAAACCTCTGCTATACAGAAATTTCAAGTAGCAGAAGACACATGCAGAGCTAGTACAGAGAAAATAAATTCCAGACGCAAAATGTTATGTTTAAATATATACACGTGTATCAGAGCAAAAGAAATCCTTTCTGCCTAGACTTGTTTACCTTTTCCTTAGAGATAAATGGATTTGTGAAGCAACAGCCTTCTTGCTTCCCTGGAGATTTTCTAGCTTCTTGTAGATGCCAGCCTTTAATCAGGGTTTAGGATGGTGAAGATGATGCTACTTCCTTCCTTTACCTTTACCTTATCCCTCTATCCTACTTCTTGCTTGCCTCCGCTCTCCTGAGGAATTACTTGCAATTTAAAAAAAGCAAAAGCCCTTCATGTGGAGAGGGAAGAGTTTTGGGGAGTCCTCTTATTGCTGGGTAGTGAAGCAAACCCCTCTCTCCTTACAGAGAACCTGCTTGAGACAAGGAGATGTGCAACTGGGTTAGTCTGTTTAGAAAAACCACCAGTGTCTTGTGTCACCTTACAAATTAGGTGATGAAGTAGATACTTGGCCCACCAACTTTATCTGCAGTAATAAGTAGGTTAATCTACAAGGTGCCGTAAGACCCTCCCTTGCTTTTGCTATGTGAATTGTACCATTTATGCCAACCCCAGTTCTTCACAGAATAATGAGAAGCTGTGCCACAACATGTCCATGACAGCTAGAGGTTTTGTTTTGTTTTTTAAGGGAAGAGCATTGTTCTTGGAATCCACACTTACCACCACCTCAGTGGCCCTAAGAAACATGGGGTTGGTTGCTTTCTCTTGCGTGTCCCATCCTCCCCACTCCAAATTCCAATTCCATCCTGGGTGGCAGCTGCTGGAAGCTGCTAGGTTATTTTTAACGCCTCGTCTATCTCTTGTCTCTGTGCACATTTGGGCTCTGACAGAGAGAGGAAGTTTCTGAGCTCACAAGGTATTAATGCCTCTTTTACTAATGGAGGGAGCATGTGGGACAGATAAAGTACCAGCCACTAGCCTGCTCTGCTTTGACAGAGACTGTCTCAAGGCCTCTCATTTGTGCCAGAATTGGCAGCTCCCTCACAAATCTGAAAGTTTTCCTCTGAGGAATATTATCTTCTCCCTGGGGAAGACATCAGAGACGGAGAAAGCTTCCTTTCCTTGGTCAGGAACTGAAAATCTACAGGAGTAGTCGAGTTATTCATTTTCTTGCTGCCAGTTAATTCCCCCTTTCAAGTTGGCTGCGGTGAATCTCTTCCCCCCCTTAAAGCTGTCAAGATGGGGAAAACAGCACAGATTGAAATAGAAGGCAATAGGTATGTACAGAGAATCTCCTAAGGTGAACAATCGGAATTATTTGATAGCCTTATTATTATTTGATAGAATAATGGCAACAAAATGTTAGTGTCTACCCTATGCTCTGAGGGCTGAAATTAAAGGAATTTGAGGAAATGAGAAGAATATGAACAAATGAAATTACACTTTCGAAAGCTGTTATTCCGTAATACGGTTTTTCCCGGCTTGTTAACCATTTAAGGTGTAGTCCAACCAGTCAGGAACAGTTTGCTGTAGTAATTTATGGGAGCAGTTGGCGGCTTTCAATTAGAAGCAGGCAAGGAATGTTTCTCAGCTGTTTGTGAAATAAATAACTTTGAAATTTGGAGTGCCTTCTGATGTCTCTTTTTTGCCCATATCTGCCTACCCCCCTTCCCCTCAATCTCTTTATTATTAGGCCACTTAGTCCCTCCTGCGTGGATGACCCTGCCCGCCCGCCTTCCGTGCCCCCCCTGCCTCTTCCTGCTGCAGTTGGAGGTGGGCTTTTGGGATCTGATGATGAGGAACAAGAGGACCCCCGAGATTACTGCCGAGGTATCTGAGTAATGCAGGGAATGGCCTGGGGTCTCTTAAGTGAAGGGGAGGGGCTCTCTCTGTTGCTGGCAGCGTCGTTTTGAATCCTGGATGCAGTCAGATTCTCCTTTGCTGGAACAAGATGCTAATTTAAGAAGCTGTTTTTGTCTGATCTGTTTGGGCTTTCACTTTTACATTCCTGAGGAATAACAACAAATGAAATATATGAGCATTTGTTTTAAGCATAAGATAGAACTTGAGACTAATCAGGAAGGCAATTTGTGTGTCTGCCCATAGTTGCCTCATATACTATGACACTATGGCAGCTAGTATATTAACTGGCCTCTTCTTTGCTCTATATTAGGTGGGTATTACCCAGTAAAAATTGGGGACCTCTTCAATGGGCGTTATCATGTGGTACGGAAACTTGGATGGGGGCACTTTTCAACAGTCTGGCTTTGTTGGGACATTCAGTAAGTACAGCAGTGAATGACACACTTATTTTTTTCCCCTATTTTAAATATACAAGGAATGCCCTTAAAAAAGAGTAATAGATATTCATTTTAAAAGTGATCAGGTTGCCATGTATTGCCAAGCTAGATGGTAGTGTCTGGTGGGCTTGGTTAATACGAAAATGAGATTGGATCTTGTTTGGACTTAGATGGGAAACTAGACTAGACTGGAGAGTTGAAAAAATATCCCAGATGAAAAGAATGGTTAAGCCATACATTTCCAAGGAAAATACATGGATATGTCCATGAAGTCTTTAGGAGCTCAATTCAAGGAAACAAATTTATAAGGAGCGTTAAAAAGGAAGAGAACTAGAAGTACATAAAAGTTCTTTATATCCTGCCTAAATCCAGAGTAAGAAACAGGAAAGGTGTATCCTCCCTTTGAGATGTGAAGTAGCATCTTGTCACAGGAATAGATTTTTGGGGGGGGGGGTGTTGTATGATACTGAAACTTAAAAACAAGATTAAATATTAAAATTAATATAAAATAAGAGAAAGGAGAAAGCAAACAATGCAGAAAAATAGAAAAGACGGGGAAAAATTCAAAGTAGTGGCTTTCAATGTTCTTTACAGCAATTATAAATACAATTATATTTTAACTTCTCTTTTTAAAGTGGTATCACAATACTCTTTTTTTCTACAATCTGCCCGCCTAATCATCAAAGCTGTAAATAACAAATAACTCTAAAAGTTCATTTCCCCCCCCCCATTTTTATGCAAAATGTCCAGTCCAGTTTCCAGTCACCGATAAATGTAGATGGTGCCTTTTCTCTAATCAAGTTACTTCAGCCATTTTGGCAAAATCTCTCAATTTCACCAACCATTCCTCCATAGTAGATGTTTCCATCTCTGTGCATGTAATAATCTCACTATAGTAATCATATATTGAAATAATCTTCCGTGGCTTTTGCCTGTTTACCATTATTCCTAAAAAGAAAAGTTCTGGTTTCAGCTGCATATTAATTTTTAAATTTCTCTTTATCAAAATATGTATTTGTATCAATTTTTTAGCTTTTGTATATGTCTGCCAAACATGATAAAATATCCCTTTATGGTCATATTTCCAACATACATTTGAAGTGCTTTTATACATTCTATGTAATTTCTCTGGTGTCACACACATTTTATTTAAAAAAACCTCTTTAAGGTCATAACTAAATTTCAACCCTTTTGATCATTGGTCCATTTGTATATTATAGCCAGAATTCTTAACCCATACATTCTTCAACCTGTTCTTCCTGTTTCAAATTTCAACAAAAGCTTGTACATTTTAGCAATTACATGTTCATCATCAGTGCACATTTGTACTTCAAATTCTTACATACTTTGCTCCATACCATAAATCTTTTCATCCATTGTGAATCTTTCTGGTAACTGTAAATGGGAAAACCATTGACAGCTATATCCTTCTGCTATTAATTTCTCACTTGACTTACTTTTAAATTTCCATTGATGGTTTTCCAATAATCCCCAATATATCAACCATTTGTTCTTGTCTGCTGTTTCTCTTCTATGATAAGCTTGATTTGGGAGCCATAAGAGTGTTTTTGGCCACAGCCGTATATGGTATTTAATTCCATATTCTCAATATGGCATGTCTGATAAAGTGAGTTTTAAAATCCACATTAACTTTTTTATATCATATATATCCATGCTGTTCAAAGTTCAGGTTGTCACCTTCTGACTCTAAAAGTCTCATGTTTCTCAGCGACATCCATTCTTTCATCAAGATCAAACAACAAGCAGCAAAATACAATTTCAAATCTGGTAAATGCAGTCCTCCTCTTCCTTTGCATTTTATAGCACTTTATATTTAACTTGTTTTCCCCCATTACCATGTATATTTAGATATATATATATTGTCATTGTATAAACGCATCATCAGTTGGAAAACAGGTATTGTCTAAAACAAAAACAACATTCTTGGCAAAACATTGTTACAAGAGAGTCTCCTTAACTCTGACATTTCTAATTTCTCCCATCTTAAAATGACCTTAATTTCATCCTATGTCTTAACATAATTATTTTATGTTATTTTGAATTATGTTATTTTGAAATAACATACAATTTGTCATAGTAATTCTGAAGTATTTTATTTTTTTCTCAGTTTTAAAACCAATTTTCTCCATCACTTTTATTTGATCTTCTAATTTTATATTTTTATTAACATCTTTTTCTTTATTAAGCTTAAAACTCAATTTATTAATTTTAAAACTGGCTAATATACCAAGGTCCTTTAATTTTCCCATTAATGTTTCTAGTCCTTCAAGTGGATCATCTAAAATAAACACCAAGTCATCCACAAATACCCTTAACTTATAATTCTTTTTAAAATTTTAACTTCCATAATTCTCTCATCATATATCTGTGCCTCAAGAACTAAAATGAAAAAAGTGGAGACAGCAGACATTCTTGAGGGATAGATATAATTGGAAAACAGACATCAGGGTGTAATTACAGAATTGCTATCCTTGATTACTCGCCAAAGAGCCAATGCCTCCTAGTCTGAGGCAAAATTTTAAGAATATCAAATATGGGGAAATGGGTCATTTTCTGATCACCTTCTGATTGAAATGCAAAATGCTTGCTAAGTTCAAAGGATGTCCTGGAGGATGGAGACAAAGATAGTCCAAGTGCATTTAATCAAAGAAGTACTCTATTTTTGCCTAATTAAACTATTGTTGCTGATGTTTTAGCCCTTGTACGCTGCCCAGGATCACTAGAGACAACCTTATAATTGTTGAATGAATGAATCCCTAAGGCTTTGTCTGCACAGATTCTCAGTCATCCAGGTCATAGTTGTCTCAAAGGTGCTTTTTTCTTCAAAAGACAGCTTCTTTTAGAAGAGGAGGAGGAAGGAGAAGGAGAAGAAGAGGAGCAAAATGTTTTCTTCTTCCTTTTGAAGGAAAAAACAACCCAGTTTCTTTTTAAAGAAAAAAAAGCACCTTTGAAATCCCTGAAATCCCTTTGTTATGCTTCCTATGAACTCCATTTTTAAAAAATGTATAACCCTAGCTTTGTTTTCTTACATCAGTTTTGAAGGTAATGCCGAGACTTTCAAGGAGATAATGTTGTGAAATGAAGGAAGCCAGGATTAACTAACCCTGTCGTTCTCTCCTCCCATCACTCCAGGCGGAAGCGCTTTGTGGCCCTCAAAGTGGTGAAAAGTGCTGTACATTATACAGAAACGGCTGTGGATGAAATCAAGCTACTGAAATGTGTAAGTTTGATGCTTCTCTGACCGCTCCAATTCTGAGTGAACTATTCCTCATGAAGGAATAGTTAACATACTTAGGCCTTAAAACATGAAGTAGCAAAATCCAGGAATTACAAAGAAAATTATGATAAAAATCCATGCATTCTCAAAGAAAAAAAATGCATATTTGAAAAGAAGTAAAACAGAAAAAAGAAACAAAGTATATAATTATAAGTCAACAGTTATAATATTTTGGATACACTTTTCGCACTATAAGACACACTTTCCCCCCACCCACCCAAAAAAGTGGGTGGAAATGTCTGTGCGTCTTATAGAGCAAATATTACCGAGGGTGGGTGGGTGGCCACCTGTCACTCCCATTGCCGCCTGTCACCACTGCCACTGTTCGCCACCGCTGGGGAACGCTGGAGCCTTCACTGCCGACCGGCGATTGGATCGGCCTCCCGAAATACCACCGATCAGCTGTTCTAGGCGGCGGGGATTGCCAGCAATCCCCAACGCCATTGCCGCTGGTGGCAATCTGGCAATTCCCGCTGCCTAGAACAGCTGATCAGCGGTATTCCGGGAGGCCAATCGAACCTCCAATCAGCTGATCAGCAGCGAAGGCTCCAGTGTTGTGTGCCGGCGGCAGCAGCTCAGCTTAGTTGACTGGTAGTGGATGCAATGGAACAGAGCCCTGATGAGCCACATGCTGGGAATGCGATAACGTGCTGAAGCTGACTGGACTGTTTGCTGTTTGCTGCAAGGACACTAGCCAGATGAATACCAGATGGATGCTGGGAGGCAAAGGCAGATTTTTTTCCCCCTTGTTTTCCTCCTCTAAAGCTAATGTGCGTCTTATGGTCTGGTGTGTCTTATAGTGCGAAAAATACGGTATATATCATTATTTTTAAGCTACTGTATAAGATTCAATCCAATCCAATCCTTTATTTTACCTACAATAAAGGATTGGATTGGATTGGATCTCATTGTGTTGCCTCTGGGCTTGAGCCTGACAGAACCAATCATAAGTCACTTTTCTCAGTGCCTTTGTAACTTCGAACAAGTGCTAAACAAATGGTCATAAATTGAAGACTACTTCTTCTATGACCCAAACGTCTTTTTGTCCCACAGGTCTATTTCAATGCCAATCTACAAAATAGATTCTAAAACAGCTAAGCAGCATTGAAATGGATTAATACCAGATGGGAGACCATCATGTAACCGAAAGGTTAAAACACAAATCTCCAATGTTTCCAAGAAACATTTTTTGAAGTATCAGGAGTCACCTTTAAGGATATTTTAGCCATTACTACAAATTCAGGCTGAATTTGTCACCTAGGTTTGTTAGATGTGCCCGCTGGCAAGGAGAACCATGGGAACACTTGGATCTAGAAGAAAATTCTGGTTTACCTTTCTGTGTCAATGTAGCTACTTGGCCTTTGTTTCCCCAGAGCTATGAGCTATCCTTATGGAGAGGGTTGTTTGGGCATAGAAGTTTCTAGTTACTGATCCATATCTAGAATGCTTATCCATTTTTACCTGGTACCTCTCCCTTCTTCCAGGTGCGAGATTCTGATCCTAATGATCTAAAACGGGAGAATATTGTCCAGCTGATTGATGATTTCAAGATCTCAGGGATCAATGGTGTCCGTATCCTTCCTTAAAAGGTCCACAAACTGTTTCTGCTCAAAAAGTTGGTTCTACTTTTTTCCTCCAAAGTGCCTGAGCTTTGGCTGTAAAACCAGTTTCTGTTACAGTTTTGGTGAAAATGTCTGCAGGAGAAACAGAAATTGTTCCAAACTTGTCTTGTACATAAAAATTGGTATGCTGAGTGACGGCTAACCTTATATATATAAAATCGTCTGGGAAAGCAATCAATCTTTTTGCCTACCTCCCATTCCCTAGAGTGAAATAACAAAGGACTGAGCTTTTTAGCTGCATCAGGTCTTTGTGGTAAGCATAAATGGCTGCAGTCCCTTTTAAATGGTAGGTGAATACAAGAAATGTTGCTGGGCTGTAGTAATTTTAGGTCCCTCTAGTAGAGCAATTGTACTTTTGTTTAGTTAGCACATCCACGTTTTGTTTATTGGGGCAATGCAGTTTCAAAGAAGTCTGTTAATCCGTGGGCTTTGGGGAAATATTTCTGGGTTGCTGTGCTTTGTGCTTTTCCATTCTATCACCAGCTTCCTGCTTGGCCTCTTAATAAACAAAAGCACACCCACACATGTTTTCTTTATCTAATAATGACCAAGAAGACTCCTAATTGTCTGCAACAAATATTTGCTATGTAGATAAAAATAACTTTCTACTGATCCTGGATTCATCCACTCCTTATAATAAAATCAAATCTAGAAAGGAACAAATGGCCAATAAGTTTTCCCCAAAAAGGCTGTTCTGCCAAATATTACTTTTGAAAGAAGATTCCAGGAGAGTTTAATTTTCTCAAAAATTGCTTGGTTTTTGTGTTATCTGGGAGACCACAGCTGGATGCCTGCAGATTCTGTTTTACACCAGCTTTCTTTCTGTCTTTGCTCTATATCTGAGTTAGGTTGTTTTATAAGTTCTTCGTATGTACCGTAAAGAAAGGAGGGATCTATTTACTGGTGCTTTTTTAAACAACCAGATCCCTCATTCTGATGCCTGTTTTATCTCCTTGACTTGGTTTTTGCCCAGATGTTTGTATGGTCCTTGAGGTTTTAGGGCACCAGCTGTTGAAGTGGATTATCAAATCCAACTACCAAGGGCTTCCCATACCTTGTGTCAAGAGCATCTTATGCCAGGTAAAGGTGGATTTCTTTGCAAACAAATTTGGGGGTGGGGAGTGTTTTTACAGTCAGGGTCATTCATGACCGTTTTATTATGCCAAGCAGATGGGCTTAATTTGAACACCTGTTTTTCTGGGACTTGAATACAGGTAGTCCTCAACTTACAACAGTTTTTTTTTTATTATTATTTTTTTTTATTTTTTTTATTTTTTATTTGATTTATATGCCGCCCTTCTCCGAAGACTCAGGGCGGCTTACAATGTGCTCAGCAATAGCCTTCATCCTTTTGTATATTTATACAAAGTCAGCTTATTGCCCCCACAACTGGGTCCTCAATTTACCTACCTTAGAAAGGATGGAAGGCTGAGTCAACCTTGAGCCTTGGCGAGATTCGAACCCTGCAGTAATTGCAGGCAGCTGGTCTTAATAACCAGCTTAATAACAGGGTGCCTTAAACCTCTGTACTACCAAGGCTCTTTTTAGTTAGTTTAGTGATCGTTCAAAATTACAATGGCACTGGAAAAAATGATTTATGACCATTTTTCACACTTACAACCATTGCAGTGACCCCCATAGTCACATCAAAATTTGAATGCTTGGTAATGGATTCATATTTGTGATGGTTGCAGTATCCCGGAGTCATGCAATCCGCTTTTGCATCCTTCTGACCAGCAAAATCAATGAGGAAGCCAGATTCACTTAACCACTGGGTTATTGACTTAATAACTGCAGTGATTCACTTAAGAACTTAAGAGCCACCGTGGTGCAGAGCTTAGAGTGCAGTACTGCAGGCTACTTCTGCTGATCACCAGCTGCCAGCAGTTTGGCAGATTGAATCTCACCAGGCTCAAGGTTGACTCAGCCTTCCATCCTTCCGAGGTGGGTAAAATGAGGACCCAGATTGTTGGGGGCAATATGCTGACTCTGTAAACTGCTTAGAGAGGGCTATAAAGCACTGTGAAGCGGTATATAAGTCTAAATGCTATTGCTATTGCTAACTGGCAGGAAAAGTTGTAAAATGGGGCAAAACTCACTAAACAAATATCTCACTTAGTAACATAAATTTGGGGCTAAATTGTGGTTGTAAGTCGAGAACTACCTGCACTGCTATAGTTGTTAATAAGATCAAGACTCCAGGGCCTTGCAGCCTCTTGACCTGATTCACAAAGAAGTTCTTATCAGTGGTGGGTTGCTCCTGGTTCGCACCGGTTCACAAGAACTGGTAGTAAAAATTTGTAGTAGTTCAGAGAACTGGTAATAACATTGGCTGGCCACGCCCCTGAACCAGTCCCCAGCCCGGTCGCCGCTCACTTACCCCACCCACCTCATCAGAGGCTTTTTTTTTTAACTTTTAAAAGCATTTTTTTCTACAACCTCTTCGGCCGAAAAATGCTTTTAAAAGTAAAAAAAAAAAAAGCCTCTGATGATCACGTGGCTCAGCTGGGATCGTCAGAGGCTTCTGAAAGCATTTTTTTTCTGCAACCTCTTTGGCTGAAGAGGTTGTAGAAAAAAAAATGCCTTTAAAAGCCTCTGGCAATCCCAGCTGAGTTGCCTGATCATCAGAGACTCCTAAAAGCATTTTTTTCTGCAACCTCTTAAGGTTGTAGAAAAAATGCTTTTAAAAGTAAAAAAGGGGGGGGGCACGCCCACCCAGTCACATTACCCCCATCAAGCCACGCCCACAAAATAAGCCACGCCTACAGAACCGGTAGTAAAAAAATTTAGAAACCACCCCTGGTTCTTATCCTTGGCACAATTGCTTCTTTTTTCAGGTGCTGCAGGGCCTTGATTACCTCCACACAAAGTGCAAAATAATCCATACAGACATCAAGCCGGAGAACATCCTGCTGTGTGTAGACGAGAGTTACATACGACGGCTGGCAGCTGAAGCTACTCTCTGGCAGCAGACTGGAGGTCCTCCTCCCTCTGGTTCTGCAGGTAAGTATACCATCCTGTTCGTAAGCAAGAGGGTTGATGATGGTCTCCTTTCTCCCAAGAATGCTAAAGGGGCACGATAGAAGCTGAGTGAATTTGCCTCTAGCAAATGAAGACCTTCATTAGATTGATGCAAACATAATTAAGGGAGCAACAGCAACATTCTTAAATGCCAAAGTGTTCAACATTCATTGGATCCAAAAGTACTAGGCAGTGGCAGTGAAAGGCATAAGCTTTGCTGGTCTCTGACCGTAATAAAAATTGGTTGATTGATTGATTAAAAAAAATTCCAGAAAGGCCCAAGCCATAGGGACCATATTTATGTATCCATATATGAATGGAATAGAAATTGAAAAGGGCAGGAACTGAAACCAAATCACTCCAATATAGTCATCATCTGGGCAGCTGAATAGAGCTGAGTGTTTATTGGCCGGATGCCCTTCCTGTCGCCAATGTAGAGTTTTTTTTCAGCAGATAAATCACTCCAATACAGTGATAACTAGAAAACTGCAACTTCATCCCAAAGAATCCATGACGGAGCTTAAGTGCACAGAGTAAAACAAAAAAGAAAATCTGTTTAATAAAGTAAGATTGGTAATGAAAGTGAGCAAGTTGAACTTTTTAAAGTGGATCCCCTGGATTGCCATTGTTTTTTCATATGCTTGGTCATTTCCTTGGCAAACCAAAAGCCCATTTGGCACCTGTCGAAGAGAGTGATTTGGCCTTGGGGATTCCAGGTAATAATCAGAAGGCTTCAACTCATTAGGAGAACAGGCTTCCCCATTAGCAAGTGGTAAGCTGGTTTAATCAACATGAAGGAAGACACTAAAATGGAGGAAGAAGAAGAAAAGTTAAGACTATCTGTCTTTCTTCCATTCATGGATACAGCAAAGCAGTTTTCCCTGCCACTGTCAGAATTCAAGGATACTTCTCTTTCTAATCTGTTTTGTGTGTGTGTGTGTCTATGATCTGGGATAGTCAGTATAAGAGTGCCTTTCCCAACTGGATGCCTTCCAGAGGAGTTATTACTATTATTTATGGGTTTTTTTTTCAATAATTTCTCTGGGAACTCCAGACAGCATACAAGAGAGCCTTCTCTCATTTTATCCCCTCTGCCACAAATGGGCAACGTAGGATGGGTAGAAAGGCAGCGAGTGACTGGCTTCTAGTTACCAGCCAACCAAATGGTTGAGTGGTTGAATTAGAACTTGGTCCCAATCTGACCCTTACACTGGCCAAACTGGCTGTCTTCAGATTAAGGGTTTTGGTCCCAACACTTCTGGGAAATATCAGGTTACAGAAGATTAGTATAAGGCCTTAACAACTAGGACAGGAGTGGCTGCTTCATTTTGCCCCCTCCCCTCTGAGCCTCCAGAACCGTATTCCCAAAATTTAGCCATATGAGTGCTTTTGCTCATCATTCATCAAATAATCTGAAAATGGGAATGCTGTGGGGGTTTTTTTAATGAAGTGCACACGCTCTTTGCAGACCTCATTCCTTCCCCTTTCAGTGCTGTTCTGTGTCACTGCCATATCCCAGCAACACTTCTTTATTTTTTAAGGTGAATTCCTTCCTAATCTCAGAACAATTGTTTGCCTTTAGAAATGGAGAAATTCACTAATGGAGAGGTGTGGCTCCAAATTAAAGCAAAGGCCGTGAAAGCCTTGTACCCAGACAAACACAGGCTTCCCTTTCCAAACGCCACTTCAGCAAAATAATAGCTCCGCATCTTATGCCTCCAATTGAAACAGATTTCCATTTTTCTATTTTTTATATCTGGTTCTCTTTCAGTTCATCATTGGGAATGATAAAACACTAGGTATGAGTCATGAAATCCTTTTCTAACAATTATTGGGAATCTTATTACCTTCCTCCCTCTCCAGCTCTGGCTTCAGAAATCACGACACAAGCCTAACTCTAAGCTTAAGGGGCTAGGAACCTGGCCTATTTTTAGATCAAAAGCGAAGAGCCTATAAAAAAGCCCAGCAGGGAAAAAAAAAACTAGACACTGGATATGGCTCCTAGGGATCATTGTTATTGGACATGTGTACAGTTGAGATTTGGTAGCAAATCCAGGATTCTGCCATTGACCAGGCTCAAATTCCATTTAGAATTTTCAGACTGGAGTTCTGCATTCAGAATGGCCATAAGAATAGAACTGAGGGCTAAAGTGATGGGGGAACCAGATTCTGCCTCTCCCTGGTTTTATAACATTAATCCTAGCTTTAGGGCGGAATGATCCTAATGGTGTGGGAGACTCTGGCCTTCCACATCCTCATCCTCCTCATCCTCCTTTACAGCATTACTGTACTGATTGATGTTTGTTTGCTTTGGATTTCCTGGCTGATTCTGGGAATCATTTCTGTCTCTTTCTCTCTCCCCCTTTTCTCGCCTCACTCCACCTGTGCACCTCTTCCCTCAGTCAGCTCTGCACCCCAGGAAAGCCTGGTAAGTCCCCCACCCCGTCCAGGGCTGTGATGGGGGGAAGGAATGAAGTTTTAGAGTGCCTGCTTTGGATCTCACTTGCTCTGTGAAACTCATGGACTGTTGATACCCACCATCTCCATTGCCCTTGTGTGGATGGCTCCTCCGTGTTTGGCAAGTTGCATCTAAGGCTCATGTTGCATCTGTAATTTGTCTGTCAATGTTACCATGGACACATTTTGCATATAATGAGATGATATTTGCAGTCTTTGTTAGCTCCAGGAGAGGTTGTATGCTTTAGCCATTTTGGCAGTCAAAGAAAAGGGGGGGAAATATACTAGGTTGGACCGTTGCCATCTAGGCTGGTTTATGTCTTCTCTGGTTTGTGACTGCAGTCTTGTGGCACAGAGACTCCTTCTTATCACCCATGTAACAGGAGACGCCTGAAGTTATTTCTCTCTATGCTTAAAGAGGGCTAAGAGCTCATCCCCTTAAGGCCAGGGATATCCCAAGAAACATGAGTCTAATTTGGGTATAGAGCTCCTTCTTATGACTCAACAACCTTGTGCTGTCATTCCCATTCACTTCAGTAAGGCTGTCTCATGCTGGAGAGCTTACTGGTTGATTCTTCCCCCTGGGTCAAATTCTGTATTTGGTCTGCATCTGGCAACTAAACTTAAAATCCATGGCTCAGTTGAGCCTTCTCCTTTTCCTGTTGTGTGGCTGGTCTTTTGAATCAGGAGAAAGAGAAAAGAGAATGACTGTTTTTAAGATTAGAATCCTCAGTTTGTGCCTCTGAATATATGTTTATTATTGTAGATAATAATTGTGTCATTTCACTGACTTGCGAACTTTGTTGTAATTTCAGAGTAGAGATTATTTTGACTGGAATGTTCTGTTAAGGATCAGAAATAGCAAAGGGAAGTGAAAGCGTTTGCAATGGGAAGCACAGGGACCAGAAGAGAGTTGTTGCCACTTTGTGAAGTGTCCAAGGCTTTCTCCATGAATGCTTTCCATTACTTTGAGCAACTTGTGAACCTCCAGATGTTGTTGAACTACAGCTTTCCCACTATTGGATGTGCTGACTTGGACTGCTGGAAGTTGCTGTTCATCAATATCTGGTGGGCTATAGAGTGCTCACCCAGAGTTGGGTGTTTCTGGATTGGACAGGCAGCAAGGATGCTATAGCTCATGGAGCATTGTTTGTTTCTTCCACTTTAAATCTGGCTCTTAGTTTGTTTTACCAGGTTTTTGTATGCACTGAATGATTTTGCTTCTTAAGGTTGTGTGTAAAAAATGCTGTCTTAAATGGAGTGATAGCTGTCCCTTAAAAGTGGACCCCATGACACCATCAGCAAGTTTATGGGCATTGCCTCACCCTTCTCTGTGATAAGTTATTGCATTGGTTCAAATGCATTTTTTTTTTAATTTGATTTATATGCCGCCCTTCTCAGGAGACTCAGGGCGGCTTACAATGCGCTCATAATGCACTAAGCAATAGCCTTCATCCTTTTGTATATTTATACAAAGTCAGCTTATTGCCCCCACAATTGGGTCCTCAATTTACCTACCTTAGAAAGGATGGAAGGCTGAGTCAACCTTGAGCCTGGCGAGATTCGAACCTGCAGTAATTGCAGGCAGCTGGTCTTAATAACAGGATGCTTTAGACCACTGTACTACCAAGGCTCTTTTCTAAATGCATTAATTATCATGGATATTAAAATTTGCTTAATCAGAACCAGAAGGTGTTTCACACATCCTGGCTAAGAATTAGTTGGTTAGTAAATTATTATTAATTATTAATAATATTAATAATATTAATACCTGGGGCTGAGGTAATTAAATTTGTGCATAATAGAAGAAACATTAACAGTCTTGTTCCTGCTCCCAGTTTTAAAATTATGGTAAAGAAACTGACAGCTTTATATCTAAACTAGCCCAAGGTGCTGGATTTTATAACATGCGCACGGTCCTTGTGTTCTTTACTGAGATGCCAATAATACACTAGGTATGTTATGTTTTTGTAAATTCCCATTTATCTTTCCCCATATTTTTCTCTGTATGCCTGTTTCTTTACAAGTTTCTCAAGCAGAATAGCTGATTTATTGCAACTTGTGACCTGAAAACATTGGTGCAGGCCTCGGAGGGAAGGGGAGCATCACTTGGTGCTGCTTTACATTCAAGACATCCACAGTTTCTGCCTCTAACATCTCTAGTTGAAGAGGATCAGTTGGCAAGCTTGCATAAAGAAAACGAAGCCCTCCTCACTTCTTTCTGACTGGGCCCTGTGGATAAAAAGCCTAAGCTGATGGATTCCTGGGTTTAATAGCAGTGTTTGCGTGGCTTAAATTGTATCACTTGAAAGGAGAGGGAAAAAGCCCTTTTTTGAACCTACCTAACCATATTAAAAACGGGTAAGGATAGATAAGAGGAATCTTGGACATTATGCACTTGGGAGAACACCACCTGGATTGCTTATTTGAATGGTAGAAATGTTTTTATTTGTTTATTTATTAAACTTGTTTGCCACCCATCTCGTCTTAACTGATGTGATGTTGATTGAATACTAGGGCTGAAGAAGCGGTGGGAGCAGTGCCCAGAGTATACATGGCTGGGTACAAGCCCAGAGAGGTGGTTGTCATTTTGGGTCTGTTAACAAAAAATTAGAAGCTGTGTACCATGTTGTCCTAGAACCCAGTTTCTTAAGAACTAGATGCCTCGTAAATGAGGTGCTATAACATTTAGACAACACTACTGAAGGACATACTGGTTGGGAGTTACCATTGTACCTCTGGCACACCTTGTATGTGCCAAAGAGAAAAGGCTGTGCTGTAGAAGCCTGCTTTGTGTATTTTCCACACCTAAAACATACATAAACACATACATGTACAACTCCCAACAGCCAAGGAGATAATGGTATCCATAAAGATATGGGATCATTGGTTTGATTTTAGGTTAACTGTTGTGATCTCTTAACCATGACCTATGCTTTTGTGTCTGTGGTATAGGCATAACTCCGGAGTTGATTTTCTACCCTGCCTTGATTTTGAAATACAATCTGTTTTGAATTTGCTGGTGAAAACCACCATGATTCATTTGTTCTCTGAATAGGATCCAAAGGGTATACTAGAAGTGGGGAAATACCTAGAATATCCCTCTTCTGATGCCTGGAAGGAAGGCCAAGTTCCTTGTTTTCCCTGGTTAGGGTTAGGCCACTTTATATTGGATTCTGTTCAGTAAATTCCAATTTCAGAAAAGAAATAAACTACTCAAAGGAAACAGGCATATCAGGAAAAGGCTGTGGTCTTACTTTCTCCTTTTCATGTTAGTTCTTTGTATCTTTGGAGGGGTTTTTTTTGTATGGAATAGGATTTGGTCCTATGAACTGGCCCTTCTGCCTTAAGTGGAACTGCAGAAAATCAATACCTGATCTGCCATGTGTTGATCATGTCTGTGTGAAGTCTGCTGTAAAATCCTTGGCTTGCCTGCAGAATATCCAAGAAGCATTTATTTATGTTTTAATGTAGATATATATTTTTTATGATTGTTAGCCGCCCAGAGTTATCTTATGGTGAGACAAGCAGCCAATAAAATGTATAAATAAATAAAGCCGCCCACAGGTGCCTTTTGTCTGAAACTTTGGAGACCAGACCCAAAGATGGGCAGCCTGTAACCTTTCAAATATTTTTTTGGACTGAAGACTCCATAATTCCTCAAGCCTGCAGATCAGTGATGGGTTGCTCCCGGTTCGCACCGGTTCGCAAGAACTGGTAGTAAAAATTTGTAGTAGTTTGGAGAACCGGTAATAACATTGGCTGGCCACGCCCCCGAACCGGTCCCTGGCCCGGTCGCCGCTCACTTACCCCACCCACCTCATCAGAGGCTTTTTTTTTTTTTTTTTACTTTTAAAAGCATTTTTTCTACAACCTCTTCGGCCGAAAAAATGCTTTTAAAAGTTTTTAAAAAAAGCCTCTGATGATCGCGCAGCTCAGCTGGGATCATCAGAGGCTTTAAAAGCATTTTTTCTACAACCTCTTCAGCCGAAGAGATTGTAGGAAAAAAAATGCCTTTAAAAGCCTCTGGCGATCCCAGCTGAGTTGCCTGATCATCAGAGGCTTTTAAAAGCATTTTTTTCTGCAACCTCTTAAGGTTGTAGAAAAAATGCTTTTAAAAATAATAATAATAAAAAATTGGCCACGCCCACCCAGTCACATTATCCCCACCACCAAACCATGCCCACAAAATAAGCCACGCCCACAGAACAGGTAGTAAAAAAAAATTAGAACCCATCCCTGCTGCAGATACTGGCTAGGGAAGTGATTGGCCACATCTGGGCTTGCTTTTCCCCACAGATCCTAGCAGACCAAAAGAAGCATCATTAAGACCCAGTTTTCTACTTGTTTTACTCTAGACCATAAAGCAACAACTAGCTAACCTCAGCAGTTCCCCAAAAGCCCCAACAGCATTGTACCTGATGAGTATTTGGAGGGAGGAACCACCAGGAAATACTAATGACGTACTGTAGATATGAGGGGAGGGGGTGTTCTAGAAAGCAGCTTTAGCAAACTGTTTCTGTACATAGATGTTTCTATGAAATCATCAGGATTGGCTTTGCTTTTTACTGTAGGGGTAGCTTTTTATAAAAGTCTTGCTTATACTGTACGCCTGTACTACCTCATGTAACAAAATCGTGCTAGTGAGTAGTGCTTCAGGTTACTACTACTCCTCTTTTGCTTTTGTTAGATCCACCTGTTTGTCTGATCTTCTTATGCTTGACTTGTGCATCCGTTTCCATTCAGATAAATAAACTGATTCAGCTAAAATATTCTGAACTCAGTAAAGACTAAATTAGTTGAATGTGGGCATTTTGAAAGTAAAGAGACAAGTTTATAATTGTTTACTTTTTTCCCCCCTGAAAAAATAAGCAGGGCTTAATTTCCGCAACCAAAAAGTCTAGATACAACCCACTGGATTTGGCTTGATCAGGCAGTGGTGAAATCCATTTTTTTTTTTACTACTGGTTCTGTGGCGTGGCTTGGTGGGCGTGGCAGGGGAAGGATACAATGGTGGGTTGCTCCCGGTTCGCACCAGTTCGCAAGAACCAGTAGTAAAAATTTGTAGTAGTTCCAAGAACCGGTAATAACATTGGCTGGCTACGCCCCCGAACCGGTCCCCGGCCCGGTCGCGGCTCACTTACCCCGCCCACCTCATCAGAGGCCTTTTTTTTTTTTTAACTTTTAAAATCATTTTTTCTACAACCTCTTCAGCTGAAGAGGTGGTAAAAACAATGCTTTGAAAAGCCTCTGACGATCCCAGCTGAATTGCCTGATCGGCAGAGGTTTTTCAAAGCATTGTTTTCTGCAACCTCTTAAGGTTGTAGAAAAAATGCTTTTAAAAAGAAAAAAAAAAGTTGGCCATGCCCACCCAGTCACATTACCCCCCCAAGCCAGCCCCACAAAATAAGCCACGCCCACAGAACCGGTAGTAAAAAAAATTAGAAGCCACCCCTGGAAGGATACTGCAAAATCTCCATTCCCACCCCACTCTGGGGCCAGCCAGAGGTGGTATTTGCCAGTTCTCTGAACTACTCAAAATTTCTGCTACCGGTTCTCCAAAACCTGTCAGAACCTACTGGATTTCACCCCTGAGATCAGGGAATCTATATTTTATTTGGACATGAATGATACGGTATCACCAGGTGTGTGAATTAGCCGGAAAGGTTCCCGTTTTAGAATTTGCTTCAGGTATTGGTGTCAATCAGTGTAATTAGTCCGAGCCTTCTATTGTACTTTGGCTAGATCACATGGACCAGCTGCTTGTTTTAGCATGGAAAACCTTTTTTGCCTGTCCATGTGTAGTTTATGTTGGATGGCTTAGCACATGCCGGGCAGAGACACACTTTTCTCTTTCAGAAGAGAAGTGTTAATAACAGGCAGCCATCAGAGATACAGTACTGCATATAATTTCAACTTTCCTGAGAGGAAACTGACTTTTTACTTCTGGATTCAAACTAGGCCGGCCAACCACAGCTTAGCTTAGCATATTATACAGAGCCTAAAAATAGGATAATGAAGTAAACCGCAGTCCAGTTAATCACATATTATGTGAGGGAGTGATAAAAAAGAATGAAGAAAAGCCAAAAAGCAATGGGAACCGTACTGAAGAAACCTGACCTAATCATCTTTACTGCAGTGTGGCCAATTTATGGGATATATGTAGCCCGGTGTCCCCCCCCCCTTTTTTTTTTTTTTTTTTGCATCAGAAGCCCTAAAATTGTGCGGAGACAAATGAACCACAATATTAGGCTTTTGCGACAATTTTTGGAGCAAAGTGGAATTGGCATATTAAGGAAAGTAAGTAGAAAATCCCACCATTGACCAATCAGGTGAAGTGCTTAATATTAGATCCCACCCACTCTGGCCTCAGCACTCCATCATTCCAAAATCTAATTCTTGGCCCTAAAGGAAGTTATCCACAATTGTGCAGAAGATTTGGGAATGTTACTTAATTCTCTATAGTGATGAATAAGTTGGCTTTTGGAACTGCTGTAGTTAATCCTTCTGTATCCTATTTCTTGCCATGGTTCAGTAGTGGAGGCCTGGTCTCTTAAACTAAAGCCATGATGTGAATTCTGGCTTCTGACCACTGCTTTGGGTCAGGCCAAGCACTGGCCAGTACTCTTTCCTCCCCCTGGTGGCAATTCTGGGCTATACTTGACCTCTTGGTTGCTTTTAGCTTAAACTTGTAACTTAGTTTTTAACCACATAGCTAAAGTGTGTGGTCACCAACTTTGTACAATGAGCAGTTTGTATGAGAACGTGTCTGGCCAACTAAAGCCTTGTCAAGCTAAACTCCATGATTATGAGGTCAAGAACTCTGTAATTTCTTGCAAGGGAGATCTATAGTTGAAAATTCCATTGTGGGTCACCCTTCTGAAACCATCTTACTGAGCTCTCCTGCAATTTGTCATTTCTAGTTGCAGCAACATTCCTACAACCTTGGAACATGTTTCGGTAAAGCTAGAAAAATGAAACACTCCCTTTTATGCTTTCCGTTAACCACATCTCTTCTATAAAGCCAGAGGTGGGTAGACAAGATCCTTATTATTATTATTTTTACTAGAAACCCAGATCCTCTAACCAGAACCAAGGCTGAAATGGTGGCTCAAGACTAAGAGTCAGTATATTTTTAGAATTAGTTAGCCAAGGAATTTGTTTTCAATCCCAGAGCTGAGTTCACATTCCTGTGACCCAGAAATTCATTCCCACTTCTTCTGACCCAAGCTTTTTTCTCTCAGTAATCCTAAGGGTCTTTTCACCTATAAAGGTTGTGCCAATTGGAAGTCTGCAGTGCCCTCCATATTTTCACACATTTGTGGGTGTCTCCGTAAAATGTTAATCGGCTCAGCAATTGCTCCAAAGGAAACAGCAAAGATAAATGTGTTGCTTTGCATCTGTAGGTGGGGAGCAGGTGATTCCCATTGTCAGGAACATCCTCCTTATCTAGGCTCCTGGGATTTTCCCTCCTTTTCTGAATTGAAGGTGTATAGTCATTATCTGTTGCTTTCCAGTGGCTCTTGGAAATACGCTGTTGGGTATGTTGTTGTTTCATTGGTTTACTTTTTTCCTTACCATAAAAAGCAGTCATGGTGAGTTTAGATCCAATGGCTGTAAGGACAAGCACTAAACTAGAAAGGAGAAAGCTTTTGGTACTATGTATTGAGAATAAAAGAGATTGTGGTGAATTCTCTTTGCATGGTGGTACCGAGACTGGAAGAAAAAAGGCTTCCATGCAAAGGAGAGGGTTGTGAGGAAACATTACAAAATAAAGATTTCTTTACAAAAAGCTATTTTATCTGTTTTTGTTTGCTTTCTAATCCCTACTACCTGTCCTACATTAAACTATTATTTATTTTTATTGGTTTCTTTTATTTAGCTGGGGATGTATAATTGATGATCCTGTATTTTAACAGTTTTCAATTCTGGATCATAGAGTTTTTTTATTCTGTAGTCTTTCCTGCTCTGATTTCTCTTCCTTTTATAGGAAGAGCCGGTACTATATTGTATTTTATTTTTACCTTTAATTTTTCCTTAGTCTGGCCCTTGTATACTTGGGCCTTTAAGTCACCTATGTCCCCTTCTGAAGATAAGTGGATACTTGGTGGAAGGTTGAACCTGCTTGATCTAGGCTAGCCCTTGAAGGCTACAACTGCCATTCGGGGCTTCAAACAACAGCAGGCACCCTGGTGACAGAGCCACTTGTTTAAAAAATAAGGAGGGCTACCTAAGGGTCTGGTGTTTCTTAGAAGTAAAACCAGCTTGTTTATCTCATTCCTGCTAAATAGCAAATTGTGCCAGAATCTGATAAAAATCCACTCTAGCAATTATTGCACATTCTGCTAGATTTATGGCAAGGGAAGTGCAGGTGTGTCTTACCTGGATACCTTTTTGCTTAACAAAAGGCTTCCACATGCACAGTTTAGAGTGAAACTATGTGCAAGTTCTGTCCAGATTTTTTGACTTGGGCGTAGATCAAGTGACGTGCATCTTCATTTGCTCTTAGCCAAACTGGGTGTTGGGGAGGGCACACTAATATATGGGGCCAGGACAGAAAGTGAATTTGATTCAATGTAAGCGTTTCCCCTATATTTCCTCTTCCTATCCTATTAAAAGTTGTATGGATTTGATGGGCTCTGGTTATATATGATCCTGGAGTGACACAGCTTTCCTTTTAGGGACCCAGACATAAGTTCCTGCTATGAATGCCCCCCGTTGCTGCCTCTGTTGCTCCTTTGTATGAGAGGTGGGCAGTGAAGTCTTCTCTTGCATTTTGCCAGAAACCCAGGGGGTCATCCGCGTCGTTTCTTATGCTTTCCCTTTCCACCTTCAGTAACTGCCTGTGTAATGCCAGTATTCCTTCCTGCCCTCGTAAATGCAAGATTGCCCTCTTTGTCACTTCTTCTGTTTTTTGTTTCATTCCCATTTGTGCGCTCTTGATGCCTTGTGCTCCCCAGAGTTCACACCTCTGTGCCAATTATATCCTTGTTTCTGTCTGTCAGGTTTTTGTCTGTTGCTGTGACCCATTTTTTTCTGTGGCTTGGCAAGGGAGGGCCCATTTGACATCATGCAACAGCAGCTTTTTGCTTTGTTTAGTTGCCCCAGACCCTTTGTTGAATCAGAAAGGGCACTAGAGCTCATTGTTAGAATATGCACCGCTTTGTTGCCGTTGTTAAATATATTGTTGCTGGTTCCTGCAGTTGAGCCACCTTTAGACTCAGCTAGTTTCAATAGGCCCAACACATGCATGGCTCCCTTCTTCTCACTCTGAACTCTCTTTGCTTTGTTGCTTCACACCAGCCTCTCCTGGCAGGATGTCTGCAATTTAGGCCGAGAGCACTATGCGGTAGTAAGTCCACCTTCTTCAGGCTGTCCCATTTCAAATTGTAGGTGGTGGTTAACTGTACTGCCGAATTGTCCCCCTCGAGATTGAGCAAATGAATTCCATCGTATTAAAAAATCTACACTTCAGAAAGTAGGACTTAGCTTAGGTTTCTTCCTTGGAGCAGTTTGGGGGCTTAGGACATTTTTTTTCCAATTATGCAAGTCACATCCCCTCCAGCAGTTTGAAGTGGAACAGCCTGAATTTGACCATTTCCCATTGAACTTGGCTTTACTTTCCAGTCATTTGCTTGTGACAGTCCTATCTGCTCCTTGGAGAACTGTCATGTCTTCTTGTTTCTACACACCTTCAGCTTTTCTCTTGCATGTGGTGTGTTTGGGAGTGCAACTTATATTGCCCACTGACAAACGTATTAGGGCCCACGTGATTCCCTGGACTGTTTCTTCTCCTCCTTTCCCTGCCTGCCCCAGACATAATGGGCAGGCGTCCATCTTGTTTGCCTGTTTCCCCGTCTGCTCCATTCTTATGCAGCCCTGGAGTTATGAGTGATGGGGCTGTGACATGGGGCCCTCTCATCTCCCAGAATGGGAAGCTTTCAAAGAACAAGCGGAAGAAGCTGAAGAGGAAGCAGAAACGGCAGAGTCAGCTCCTGGCTGAACGACTTCGGGACCTTCAGCAGCTGGAGGACCTGGCAGCTACAAATGCAGGGACCAGCAAGTCCACAGAGACCACAGGTAAGATGTCTATGGAGATTCTCGGTCATCCAGGTCATGGTTGTCTCAAAGGTGCTCTTTCAAGAGGCAACTGGACTTTCTTGTTTTTCTTTGAAGATGTTTCGCTTCTCATCCAAGAAGCTTCTTCAGCTCTGAAGAAAAATCAGAAAGTCCAGTTGACTCTTGAAAAAGCACCTTTGGGACAGAGGTAAGATGGGCTGAGCAGACTGGCATGCTATGGTACAATCAGGGCCCTTGAGATCATTCCCACAAGCGTGACAGAAATATATGGCAGATTTACACCTGGATCGTATTTTCTTGTAAAAAGCAGAGGACAAAAAGAATTTTAAAAATTGTTTTGGTTTATAATTTTGCTACACAAAAGAAAATTCAGAGAAAACCAAGAAAACTTTACAAAAATGCATATTTTGATACAAGTGCCTAAAATCAAGCACTATATGTAAAAAAAAATTTTTTTAAAAAAAACTCAATTTTTTTCATATGAATGTGGAAGATTGCACTACAGTACAGTTTGTACTGTAAAGTTAAAACGACCAAAATAAAGGGAAAAAGTCAGTTTTTGAAAAATAAAATCCAAAGGACAGTTTTCTGAAATAAAGGATTGTCCTTTATAATAAAGGGCATATGGTCATTATATATATACATATCTCCATTAAATGGTTACTAGACAACATGGTCCTTTTCACGAGAGAGAGAGGGGGGAGGGGAAGAGAGAGAGGGAAAGAGAGGGAAAGAGAAAGAGAGAGAACACTTCGTTAGGCAGCTTGTTTTACTCTTGTATGTTTTTGTATATTCCACAGATTATTGTCCGCTTTGTTTAGTAATCACTTAGAGTCTGGACTGAAAATTTATTTAAGCCCAAATTGTAAATACAGGCATCCTGCCACATAACAGTAGTATTTTTTTTCCTGGGGGGAGGAATAAATATCTAACTAAGGAAGTTTATAAATTATTTCACAGCTATTATATGTATGCAGTTCTTGATTTATTTACCAGCAAAACTGCAGAAACTCTGAAGTCAGGCATGTCCAACCTCCAGGCTACATGTTGCCTTGGACAGCTGGTAATGTGACCCCACAAGATCATATTTTTAATACTATTATGGCATTTATATATGTTAACTATATATTTTTATGCGGCCCAAGACAATTCCTCTTCATTCATTGTGGCCCAGGCAAGCTAAGAGGTTGGGCAACCATGCTTTAGGTCAGTGTTTTCCAAACTATGGTCCTAGGACTTTAATTGCTGTTCTCTAGCAATTAACCTTGAGTTATATCCTGCCTTTGAAGCTGGACATAAAGGCAGCTGCCTGGCAACTAATGGTCATTAGGGGTTTATAATCCAGAATTAGTTTGTCTAATTTCCTTTTAAAGTTGGTGGCCTTTACCATACTTTATAGAACTGAATTCCATACTTTAATGAAGTTACACTACCAAGAAGTACGGTAGCGTTATTACTCTGTCCGAATTGTTTTGTGTCGGATGATCCAAGTTTTATGAAAAGGGAAATAAAAACAAAATTCTGATTTTGGATCCTTGCTTCTGAGACTTTGAATAAGACATAGGTTTTTTTTGTCAAGACATCCCTTTTTGATGTGCTTTTACTTTACTCCAAAGCATGTCTCTGTCTTTTCCTCTTGGCTAATAATGTTTTCCTTCCTCTTGCTGGGATATCTTGACCTTCCATCATCTTCCGCAGAAGGCCATTGCAGTTGCCCCATCTCAGTCTCTGGAGGGGGAGAACCCTCAGGGGGATCTCTGGCCTGCAGTCCCCAAAGCCTGACGTCATCCTCTGGCTTCTACACACACAACGCCTACGACAGCTGCAATGGGCATTCCCCACCTGGAACCGCCAGCCATCATGTCAGCCCTGACTCTGCCACCTCCGGCTTCTCAGGATCGCTCTTCTCTGGATCAGCCCTCTCAGGCGTTTCTAACCAGCGGGAGCGTGGTGGGCTTCTCTCACCCAGCAGTGAGTACTTACTCCAACTTTGAGGGGAGGCAAAGAGAAGTAAGCCAAGCATTGTTAAACACCCCAGCTTCCCACCTTGGAAATTACAGGCCACAATCCATCAGCCATTCCATCCCTTCCCTTCTTAACCAGTCTTTCTTAAAGTTGTGGTAGCACATTATCCCTGAATTAAAACTCCTCCTTAGCTCTGATTTCCATGTCATGGTGATCCTCCCCCCAAAATGATGCTAGAGCAGCATTTCCATTCTAGAGAGGAGGTTCGTGTGCTTTTATTGCGATTCCTCACAATGGTTCTTGTTTGTTATCTCTGTTCTTTTCTACCATGTCTGGGCAGCTTTTGGCACTTCTGAATTCTTGGTGAACCCTTTGGAACCCCAAAACGCAGACAAGATCAGAGTGAAGATTGCAGATCTGGGCAATGCTTGTTGGGTGGTGAGTAATTCGTGCAGATCTTTTTCCCCTCCCCAATAATGGTTGCTGCCTGTAGGGAATGGAAAATTAGGGTTGTGTTGCAAAGGGTATCTGGCTTGTTTAGGAAGTTACAAAATGGAAAGTCATGAAAATTCCTATAGGAAGAATAAGGAAAACTTTTACACTGAAGAGGGGAAATGGAAACGGAATAACAGAATTGGAAGGGACCTTGGAGTCCCAACCCCGTGCTTAAGCAGGAAACCCTATACCACTTCAGACAAATGGTTGTCTGAATTAGAAAAGCAGGCAAAGCGCGGAAGATCGCTTCGCTCACAAGGGCCATATTGGGGCTGAAAAACAGCTTTAAAAGGACAGCTGATTGTTGGAGGGAACTCCACTGACTAAAGCAGGCAAAGTGCAGAAGGGGTAAGAGAAGGCAGCAGCTGTTCCGGGTAACCATTTTGGGCACCACACATCGCGTTTTCAGCCTCCAAATGCGTCACGTGTTGGAGCAGCGATAGGCGGCAATGTGCTTTGGCGATCCCCGCAGCCTTGAAGGGCTCTCAAACGGAGAGTTTGAAGGCTGAAAATGCGATGCACGGAGCCCCACAACGAGCCATTGTTTGTGGCAATCTGCAGCCAGGAAGAGGACGCGTGGAGACCAAAGGGTGGGGGCCGGCGGGTGGGCAAGGTTACATTCGGAGTATAAGATGCACCAAAATTTTCAGCTTCTTTTAAGAGGGGAAAAAAGTATGTCTTATACTCCAAAAAATACGGTTCTTGGAGGCATAGAGTTGAATTTCTATCTTTTCTCTAGTCAATAAATTGCTGTATACAACAGAAACAACACAGTGGAAAGTTACATGTTTGCAGAATCCAGAAATTCATGATTTTATTAACTATATATTCTACCCTTATTCTAAAAAGATCAGGATGATGTATATGAAAATACCTTGGTTAACAACTACTCCTTCAGTGACAGTTCGAAGTTCCAATGGTGCTGAATGAGTGGTAGTTATGACTGGTTCACAAAGTTCCGACTGTCCCAGCAACCCCATGACCACATGATTGTAAGCTGGGCACTTGGCAACCAACTTGCACTTAGCAATGGTTGCAGTGTCCCACAATCACATGATCACAACTTGCGATCTTCTCTGCTGAATTCCCACAAGCAAAGACAATGGGGAGGCTGGCAAGGAAGGTCACAAATTGCTTGGGTAAGTCTCCCCCACCCCACGCATCTTTCCCCAGCCCTTTTGCACTCATGCTACACACCTCCCTGGCAGTGGTCGGTTGCTCCCGGTTCGGCCAAGCTGGTAGTGGTGACAATGTGAAGTCACCGAACAGGTTCTCTTAGACTGAGAGCTGGGCCCTCCCACCCGCCCCCCCTTTATCCTTACCTTTATTCCTTTTTTTTTTTTAGTCCAGCTGATAGGTGCGGCAGAGTTGATTGCCACACCTCAGCTGGGTAGAAACTGAACGCGCTTGCGCAGAGCGCAAGATTGGCGCCAGTGGTGGGTTGCTCCCAGTTCGCACCGGGAGCTCCCGGTTCGTAAGAACTGGTAGTAAAAATTCGTAGTAGTTCGGAGAACTGTAATAAGATTGGCTGGCCGCGCTCCTGAACCGGTCCCCGGCCCGGTCGCCACTCGCTTACCCCGCCTACCTCATCAGAGGCTCTTTTTTTTTTTTTTTAACTTTTAAAAGCATTTTTTCTACAACCTCTTCGACCGAGCATGCCCGCGGCAATCACGCGCAAAGCACATGCGTGAAGAGAACCGGTGGTAACACCGGTTGGAACCCATCACTGCTCCCTGGCCACCTGAACTCAAGCCTCACTGCGCTCATATTGCACCTCCCTGGCCATTCAGGTACCCACTTCCTCCTGGCATCAGCAGCCTCAAACCCTACTGCACTCATGCTGCTCCTTCATCACCACTTGCACATTCTCACACCGCCCTCCCCCAGCTCCTCTTCATTTGCACCATGCCCCCCTCAAGCCACTTGCACATACACAGCCATTCGCACACAACCTGGCAGCAGCCACCCGAAGCCCCACTGCACCTCCCCTTCTGCCTTCATCCCATCTGCACTTGCACCCAGACTCCCCTTCCCACCTTGAGACTCACTGCAGTTGTGCCATGTCTCCCCATCCATTCTGATACCCTCCCCACTTGGCAGCAGCCATCCACAGCCCCACCACATTTGTGCCACACCTGCCCAACAATACACCCTGCCCCTTTGCTCCTTCTCCCGCTCAGCAACAGCCATTTCCCTGCCTGCCAGCCTGCTTATGAGTCACCTGGCACTTGCAATATCCTGCCCGTTTTCCCACTGACTTTGTTTCTTGGAAGCCAGCAGGAAGCTGTGAGGGGGTGCTTCCTTAACAACCCACTATCCTTGCTTAACAGCAGCAATGGAGACTACGGGATTACCATTACTAAGCATTGTGGTCATGTGACATACATTACGACCACATTGCTTAGCAACAGAAATTCCTGGTCCCAATTGCTGTAGTAACAATCATGATCTTATATTCCTTGAGAATGAGGATATATATATATATGCTAATACCATGTTTCCCCAAAAATAAGACCCTGTCTTATATTTTTTGAACTCCGAAATAAGTGCTTGGCCTTATTTTCGAGGATGTCTTATTATTTTGGGGTGCGTGGAGCAAGACGGGGCTCCTCTTGCCGTCTTACCTGATTTTCAGCTCTGTCTCCCTAACCCTAACCAGAGGAAATGGCGGGGACCGGCTGCGCATGCGGTTAAATATTTTTGGGGAGGGCTTATTTTCGGAGGGGGCTTATTTTAGCACATGCGCTCAAAAGCCCGATTGGGCTTATTATCAGGGAATGTCTTATTTTAGGGGAAACAGGGTATTAATAGCTGCAGTATCTGAAATATTTTTGCACATTTCTGCTTTACCCCATCAGCATTTAAGATCTTTTTTTTTTTTTAATCCTTTTAAAATAGGTGGGGCAAACGTTGCCCAGTGGTTGTAGTTCAGAAGCCATCCTTATATCTAGTTAACTGTTCAATCTGTTTATCTAATTTGCTAAGTTTGTATAATATTCAAAATATTGAAGTAGCCACGCTGGCTGGCTTCACGCAACATAGTAGGTTTGTTTGTGGTTGGCTAGTTTGTAGTTCAGTACGTCATGTGGATCTGTGGATTTGACCACTTTTTGGATTCCCAGAATTTTCAGCAGTCTGAGAAATTCAGGGAATTTAAGTCATATAGCTGGAGGAGTCCTGGTTGGTGAAGATTGACATAAGAAAGTTGACTTTATGATCCAGAATTGAGCCAAGAGTTTTTTGGCTCACATTCATGAACTTGCTTAATGCTTTTCACAAATTCTGCTTTTGCCAAGATAATGTAAGCTGTGAGGCATCGTTGCTTTTAGCTTCATTTCCAATTTTCTAAAACAAATGCCTTGCAAGGTGGTTTTGTTTGCTTGTTTGTTTTGCTAACTTCCACTTTCTAATTATATTGCCAGGATACATTAAACCACAATGTAACTAACCACATTGGAGCCTAATCTGTGATTTGTTGATTATATGAACTTAGCCCAGGTGATAGATTTATGGCTTGCTATCTTGGAAACCAGACAATTGGGTTAAGTAAAGCGCAGTTCAATTAGCTGTGAATAATTGTTGTGTCAGCCCAGCCCTTGAGTCTATTTTACTAAAAAGAACAGGGAGACAGAGAATTGTTGCAGATCAGTGCCTGCAGATGGAATAAAAGCTTATTGAAAAGAGAGATTTTCTGCCTCAGCATTCAAGTCAAATTCAAATTGGGAACTAGACTCTGTCTTTTCCACATAAAGAGCTGTCTTCTATTTTGAGACTGAATGGGATTTGTCTGTTGTTGTTTTTTTCTCATTATGCTGTGGAGGAAATTTTATGACGAATCACAGTTTTCCCCTAACCTTAAGCATTCCATGCCTTATTTTGCTGAAAACATCCCAAATGTTTCTATTTTCTTCAGTCCCTCAAAGTTCAGGTAGAAGGTGGCAGATGTAACATATTAATGCATTGATAGCCCAGAGCGCAAGAATTACATGAAAGCCATTTAATACCATGAACAAGGTGGGCTCTGTTCCTGGGAGAATTACTTTGTGGGTGTACATTAGGGTGGGTAGGCTAAAAATCTTGTAGGAGGAATTAGACATGGCAGGAAGAATATTTGGGTCATTGTTTGAAAGACTGTTTGTCCAAAGAGTTGAAGATGAGGATATATGCTAGGCACACACCAGAGGGGATGGATGGTTCTTCATTCTCTTCGTAATTTCTTTAGCACAAACATTTTACAGAAGACATTCAGACTCGCCAGTATCGGGCTTTGGAGGTCCTGATCGGTGCTGTCTATAGCACTCCAGCTGATATCTGGAGCACAGCATGTATGGTAAGTTCTCTTCTTCGGCTTCTTTATAACTTTTATGCCAAATTCTGCTGACAGTTGCTTTTATGCAGAATAGATTTTTAATTCCAACACATTTTTAGTGCAATTTGCATCTAACCATCGACTGACATATTTTTCAAGTTCTGCTGTGAATTCCCTTGCAACAACAAGTAATTTTGTCACCTAATTTATTATCCTATAAACAGCTAGCTCACAGTTTCTTCACTTCCCTGTGGCGGTTGTGATAATAAGCAAACTTGTTTCAAACTGAGTATGTAAATGTTAGGTTGTTGCTTGTTTGTATTTATAAGGTAATAACTTTGCATTTAAAGCAGTAAAACAGAACAAAAGCCCTTACCAAATCCTACATTAATTATTTTAACCACCCAAAACCAGTAGGTAGGTTTTCCCTATACTTCAGAGACAGGTAGATAACCTTAAACACACAGTAAAGAATTTTGAAAGTTTCTTGTGATGCTTTTAAATGATGATTAAATGATGTGTGTGAACTGTATGTTTAGGAGTCACAACCCAGATTAATCACCTGAAATCTTTTGTCAGTAATCTGATGGGGTGATATACCACCTTCTGCTGCCAATGAGTAGCATGTTGCTGATCCCAGCCTTAAGCTAACTATGTAATCACATTTGCTGAAGCAAATTTTAGATGAGTAATATGTAAAATCCAGCCCACAAATAATGCCAGTGCAGTCCTTTCCCTTGTAGATTTGTGAACGGATTTTTAGGGTGTGATGAAATAAACATTTAAGCACTACTTATTCATAACTCTCAACAAAGAATAGGTTGAGAATTGGAATCCTGAAAAATGATTCATTTGAAATATCATGGGTTCTAGGGAAGGGAAGTTTTCTTTTAGCTCCACTGTATTATTATCTCCATTCACAAGATAAATTCCCTCCTTCTTTTATTCGGTAGGCTTTTGAGTTGGCAACTGGAGACTATCTCTTTGAACCTCACTCTGGAGAAGATTATACAAGGGACGAAGGTAAGGAACACTGGCCGGTTGAACTGAGTAGGGTGATGAGTGTGGGGTAGTGTTTCTCGATCGTGGCATCTTTCAAGTCCTTAATGGACTAAAGGGGAATTCTGGGAGTTGAAATTCACACATCTTCAAATTGCTAAAGTTGAGAAACACCGGTGTGGGGTGATACTGCAGATTTTTGTGAAGCAAGCTGGAACACTGGAGGGTTATGCTGAGAAAGCGACTGGACTGACTTTGAAATCATGGTCATGACAGGGAATGCTGAGGAAACAATTTCAATGTGGAAAGGGAAAGGGAAAACCCATATCGCTTTGAATTGGGCAGGTAAAGAATTCTAGGGATACGTTAGTCCAAGATCACTCCATATTACTTATCCCAGGGGTCTCCAACCTTGGCAACTTTAAGCCTGGCGGACTTCAACTCCCAGAATTCCCCTGCCATCTTTGCTGGATGGGGAATTCTGGGAGTTGAAGTCTGCCAGGCTTAAAGTTGCCAAGGTTGGAGACCCCTGCTCTGGAACATCCTCCTTCCTGAGATCAGGATGGCCCCAGCCAACCCTGCTGGCCTTTTGGAAGGCCTTGAAGACCTGGCTATGTACCTGGGTTGGGAGCCACAAATGTGTGAAGGGCACCATTTCCTGGCTATGTTGACACCGATGGATTATAATATCTCTTGGCTGCTATTTGTATTTATTTTTTTGTATTGTATTTTAACCATTCCAATTTTTTTTTATATGATTGTTCACTTTCCACTGGTTTGAGATGAGAGGCTATACAAATTGAATGAATAAATGCTTCCTATTGCTACCAAAGAGAAAGTTCTTTACCTGACATTAATTCTTTTCTTCCGTTTTGAATACCCAGCCAGTTACTCAGAGATGTAGAAATAGCAGGCCCATCTCTCGGGCTTATAAATCCCAGAAGCCCCTGTATTCATAGCTTGTAGCAGAGCCCCAGATGGGGGCTCATGGCACTAATGCTTTCCTTCTTTCAGATCATATTGCCCACATTGTTGAATTACTTGGTGATATCCCCCCGCACTTTGCTCTTTCGGGGCGGTACTCGCGTGAGTACTTCAACCGGCGAGGTGAGTTGGAAAATGTAACATTTGGAGGGGGACCTTTTAGTGGAAACGTTGCTCCAATGCAGGCGTGTTCAGAGTTTGTTTAAAGGAGAGAGAGTTGAGAAAGGTCAAGTTCTCCTGAACAAAAAACCAGGCACAGGGTGAAGGTTGGAAACGCTTAAAGCTTTCTGGTGAACCAGTGCAAATAGTGGTTTACCCGCTTGCAGTAAATTGCATGAAGGTTGCAATGTTTACTGTGGTGAGATCCAGAATGAAGTTGCTTTCATGAAGAAGCAGCTTGTAAACCTTTATATCATGGCTGTATGTCAGTGCCTTTAATATTCAACCACATTCTCCATCGATGTTCTCTTGTATCTACCTTGTACACGTATGGCCTTATGAATTTAAACATGTTAGGTTTGCTGCTGATCACTGTCATCACAGTATCAGCTGAGACCTTTCCAACTTTCCCATTTGTTTGCCTGTCTTGCTAGGGGAACTACGTCACATAAAGAACCTGAAGCACTGGGGACTATACGAGGTCTTGGTGGAGAAATATGAGTGGCCTCTCGAACAAGCAGTCCAGTTCACAGACTTCCTGTTGCCCATGATGGAATACATCCCAGAAGACCGTGCTACAGCTGCCCAGTGCCTCGAGCACCCATGGCTAAACTCTTAGGGACAGACCTTGCTAAAACAAACTGATTGGTGAAGTAAGGGAATTCTGGCCCACGTGGCATTTCCTGGCTCGTGGTATAGCCTGCTTTGCTGGAGTGATGGATGTGGGGAAGAATGTTTACTCCTCTTAGTTCCAAGATTGGAGACTCTGGCTGATTAAGCTAGAGTTCGTATGGCTGGCCTGGAATCCCACACATCAATTTATGGCTACTTCTGAAGCACAAATGAAAGATGACCAGGATTTCTTGCCCTTTTTTTTTCTTCTTTTGTTAGCATATGCCTTCTTGGTTGACAGTGGCCATCGTCTCTAGGTGCCATTGAGATAATGCTGTTTGACTGTTTATAACCAGTTCTGAGATTTCTTGGTTTTTTTCTCTCTCTCCCTTTTAAGGTATGTGTTTAAAGGTTCCCACTCTTAAAAACCAAATGAGTGTGACAGAAAAGTAATTTCAGAGGAATGGGTATGTGCAAGGTGGATGGTGAATTGGATGTACCTGAGAGTTGGAGCAAGAAGCTGGAAAGAGCTGCCAACTCTTGTTGATGGAAGAAAATATATCCCCTCCCCTGCCTAAATTTCTATTTTAACTCCAAGAAAATGTGGCCTTTTTTTGAGCAACAATTTATACAGGTGAATGAAATTTTGTAGCATTACATGATATTGATGTAGAAATTTTAAGTGGGAAGTATGTAGCAGTATGAGAAAACTCATGGAAAAAGAAATAGAACTACATCAATAGCAAAGTGGGAGAGGAAGGATTCTTATTCCAGTGGGTTCTGAATACTTCGATAAAGTTTTCTGGCATTTTCTGGGAAGATTCTCTAAAGTTTGATCAGCAGCTGAATAAACAGAAGGATGTAATAGTATCCCTCCTCCTTCCAGGAGCATTTATGGCCCCTTTCCATATTATTAGACTATAGCCCCCAATATGCATGCTTTTCACTAATCAGGGGTTGCATATCTGCTCATCATTTGATATCTTGAGAAACTCAATTCAAAAAATAAGTTGTGGTTGGAAAAATTTTTGAAAGATATGTAGTAAGAATTTTTTAAGCAGTCTGATTTTTCTAATATGCCTTGTGATGTCCAATGTTGTTTTTACTTCTATTCTGTTTCATTTCCTTTAGCCCATTTTTTTATCCAACTTTTGAGATGGTTAGGAATAGAGAATAATCCCCGTTATCATTTGCAGGATTTGGGGAGGGGGGAGGGAAATCAAGCTAGCTGTATGTGTGCGGTTAGTGTGTTTTCTTGGCAGATGTTTGGGATTGTTCACATTGTTGCCATCTTGGGCTGCTGTTGCAACTCCTATTCTGATTTTCAATACTTGTGCTTAGCAGTTTTTTTTCAAAGAAAGAACAGCTGCTCATAAAAAGCTTTTGAGCAAAATTATTCAAGCTACTTTGTGCCTTTACAATGGAGTCTACCTATTGTTTGCTGGATGCACTGAATAGGGAAGGGAAGAAAAGTGAGAGCTGTTACATATAAAGCCTCCCCCCCCCTTTCCACTCCCAAATGTCCTGGGAAAGGAATGCAAAAGAAATAAAGACCTGGAGCCAGGCGTAAAGCCAAACGTCCTTTCCTTTTCCTAGAGACATTCTGTTGAAGCTAAGTTGGGATTCCTGTTTCTGTGGAAACTAGATTCAGCTGTCTTGAATCTGGAGTCTGTGGTATGAAGCTGGAAGTAAAAGATGTGGTTCTGATTCTTCTGAACACTCCAGTCTCAACCTGGGGCAGTGAATGGGGAACATCTGGGTGAAAATACTGTTTATACCAAAGTTGTGTTGCCACAGAACCAAACCCAATGAAAGCGAGACAACTGTTTTCTTGCACTGTTATCTCCCCAATGAGAAGCCATGGCCTTGATTTAGAGGTGTCCCATGTGTGCCAGTGTTGGGGGGGAAGTATGTGTGGAAGTGTTTTGAATGCTGTGCTGTTACAGGGATTGAATTCCAAAAACATTTTTTTTCATTAAAATATTTGCAATAACTTTTGAATCTTCCTTTCTTGTGGACAAGCTGTAACAGGGATGGGAACAGAAATGGGCAAGTTTGCATGGAAGTTGAAGCTAGCGGTTTTGATGCACTTTCAAACTGGCCCTGCTCAACTATCTATTTTAAAAATCCATGCTTTCTGCAGCAGGAATATTACTTTCCTTTTAAATGAGAACAGCTCATTGAGACAGTAAGACTCAGAGTACCATGTTTGAATCTCCATTCTGCCAATAGCACAAGAGGTAGGCAAATTAGAAAATCTATATTATTCATACGTTGGGGGGGGGATGTATTGTAGTAAAAGCTCACTTTTATTTTCTAAAACAAAATAATTATAATTTTTGTATAAAAACGACAAAGGACACTCGGTCAACATTCACAGATTCAAAGATAACAGCAGCAATGCCGTTTTTGCAATGTTGCCCACAACATTCCCCATTCTCTACTGAATAGCCAGTCCTGGTTCAAAGTAGGTGATCTGGCTACTGTTCTCCAGACCTTGATTTTTCAGGATACTTCAGCATTCATTTTCATTCCAAGTCACTCCATTTTATTTTTATTGTTATGATTTTCTGTCAACCAGGCTAAAAATAAGAGTCCAGAAAACCTCTCTGTTTACATTTATTATCTCCAGTTCAGGGAGCTGAGTGAGAAACATTAACTTACACACTATATACAGAAGAAGGATATTTGAATAGTTTAAAATGAAAAGGTCTGCACCATTCATAAGAGTTGCTCCTTTGATTTTACTGAAGAAAAAGAATGGGTATCTGCTGTAGCTGGAATAGCTTCGGCCTTCAGCTTCATTTACTATTAAACAAAAAGCAAATGTAGTAATATTATTAGATAGTGTCTTTCAGGACAGAATCAAGCTATGTTGCTAAATTGCTACACTGCAAAAGACAAAAGCCTAGGGCAAGGCAAGTTACATTTCAACCTGATCTTACCTACAGTGACCTCTTCTAAATGTCTTCTTGGCTTTTATTATGGGTATAACAATTTAAAAAGAAAACCTAGAATTTTTTCCTCCCAACTTGGGTCATTCCCCAAACTTTCTGTCATAGAAAATTGATGGATATAAAACTTACGTGACCAATGTCATATTGGAGTAGGCTACAATTCCTGCTGCCCATTATCCCTTTCCCCTTTTGCTTTACAGATAATCCTTGACTTACAACCACAATTGGGACCAGAATGTCCATTACTAAACAGTGTGGTCATTGAGTGAGTTGTGCCTGATTTTACAATCTTTTCTGCCGTGGTCATTAAGCAAATTATCACAAATTATTGAGCAAATCTGACACACACACACACACACACACACACACACACACAGCGCTTGTTGGAAGCTCCCTGGGAAGGTCATCAACAGTAATCATGTAGGATGCTGCAACCATTGTAAATACAGAACAGTTTTCAAGTGCCCAAATTTTGATGATGATGGCAGGGACACTGCAATGGACATGAGAGGACGAATCAGAAATACCTTTTTTGAGCACCCTCGTAACTTGGGTTTGTTAAACAAATGGTCATAAGTCAAGGACTGCCTGTACATCTATTTCCTACTAAAAATAAATGCAGCTGTCTTCATGTGTCTGGCATGCCCTGTAGCCCAAACATGCAATTAATTCACTGCAACCAGCTCTATCCCCAATCTAGGAACTTCTTTCTTCTATTCTCTTACCTGTGCCAGGTGAGACCTAGGCTTGATGATCTGCTTCATGATTGATTGAACGGCTGCTGAGGTGGTACCCTGGCCCCCGATATCTGGCGTGTGGGTCTAAAGAGAAAAACATACAGAACTGTACTAAGCCAGCCTCACTCTCAACTGCATTGTAGCAATAGACGTCCCACTATTGGTTGAAGACCAGTGCTGAACATCTGGCCTTTTGCAACTACAATTCCTGAGCAGGGCTGGCATAAGTGAGGATATTACTTAAAATTAAACTTGATAAGATCCTCTTCTTATTTTGACTTTTTGCTGTACCCAATGCGATCGGTATGAATTACATCATTGACAGCTGGGATGTTTGATGTACAGCCCCAAAACTTTGCAGAGGAAGTCAAGAAACAGAGACTGGGACATCCTGTGTATCCCATGGCTTTTTCTGGAATTTTTTTATTCCTCTCCAATGTCAAAATTCCATTATTAGAGAAGAACCAGTTGCAAGTCTTTCCGTTGTTGCAGATCAAAGGCTTTTGAGGACACTTTTTACTCTCTCTTGGAGAAGATCACAAAAAAGATGGCTCTATAATACTATGTAAATATCAATCCACCTTTCTATTCAGAAAAATGGTTCATCTTTCATCTTTGTGTGTGTACATGTGTGCTCACCTCCAAGTCAGTGTTAAGTTCTGGCAACTGTGTGAACAAGTCCCTGCAGTTTTCCTGGCAAGATTTCAGAAGTGGGTAGCCATTGCCTGCTTCTTAGGGCTGGGAGAGAGTGATTGGCCCAAGGTCACCCACTACACCAAACTGGCTTTCATCTACAACACATCTATTTTACTTGAGCTCTTCTGTGAATTTCTCCCTAGGCAAATATTAAGAGCAACTTTATTCCATTCTGGAATAGGAAAACATCTTGCTTCTACTCCTTCCAGCATGTTGTGTAATATAATGCTTATTATGGCAATAGACCCAAATAGATTCTATCCAGTATCAAGAAACTCATTCCTACTTTTTCAAGAGATTCTAAGGACACTACTGGTCCCTAAAGTCCAAGTGACTAGATCTTTTTTTAAAAAAAAACTTGTTACTTCCCAATATCTTGATCAAGGACTGTCCAGATCAGAATAAGAGCAACTTACTTCCGCATCATCCATGGCGGTTAGGACTGCCTTGCGGATCACAGATGCGTAGCTGTGCAACCTGTAATGGATGACAGATCTTTCTTAAGAACAGCAACCCAAACCAGCCTCTCTTCTCCCATCCCCAATATGATGGCAGGGATTATTTATTCATTTCAATCCCACCTTTCCCTTTTAGGAACCCATCAGTATAGTCTGATCCTTCATTTAACCCTCAGGCCACCTACCTAAGGTGATCCAGCATCATACAGCTGGCGAGGAGCATTGCTGTGGGGTTCGCAATGTTCTTGCCTGCAATACTTTTGCCGGTATTGCGTGTGGCCTACGGAGAAATGGGAAAAGGAGAAAAGGAAAAGCCAAGGGATGATTTCGGTAATATCCCCAAGACATCCTCAACCTTTTGTGTGCTACGTCCCACAATAATTGTAGAGGTAGTTCTTGATTTATAACGACAATTAGGACCAAGAATTTCTGTTGCTAATCAAGGTGATTAAAGAAATTGTGCATGATTTTACAAAAAAATTTTTTGCTGCAGTTGTTAAGTGAATCATCATTAATTACTGTATTTTTCCCTCCATAAGACACTTTTTTTTCTCCCAAAAGTGGGTGGAAATGTCTGTGTCTCTTAATGGAGCGAATATGGGTGAGAGCAGCGGCAAATGACAGCAGTGATCCCTGCCACCTGGAACAGCTGATCGGCAGTATTCCGGGAGGCCAATCCAACCGCCGATCAGCTGCTTGGCAGTGAAGGCTCCAGTGTTCCCTGGCGGAGGCAGCAGACATGGAGGAGGCAGCAATGGCAGCGTTTCTGGCTGGCCAGCAGGGCTACGGGAGGCCAGGATCCAGCCGTTGCTCAGCTGACCAGTGGGTGCAACCTGACGAGTCATGTACTGGGGCTGTGATAACATGCTGAAGCTGACCAGGCTGTTTGCTGCAAGGACACTAGCCAGATGAATACCAGATGAAGCTGGGAGGCAGAGGCAGATTTTTTTTTCTTATTTTCCTCCTCTAAACCTAGGTGCGTCTTATGGTCAGGAGCGTCTTATGGAGTGAAAAATACGGCAAATCTGGCTTCTACAATTGACTTCACTTGTCAGAAGCTGGCTGGCTGCCAATTACATGACCTCAGATTGCTGCAACATTATAAATTCATGCCAGCTGTCAAGCGCACAAAAATGATCACAACTGGGGATGCTGCAACAATCATAAGCGCAAGTCATTTTTTTTCCAGCACCATTGTTAACTCTGGAGGATTGCTAAACAAATGGCTATAAGTCGAGAAGTATCTATCAAAGAACCTGGGTCCTGCCATGACAGAAATAAAACAGACCACTTTTTTTCAAGGAAGACATATTTAAGGCATTCTGTCAGGTTAACTTGGGTTCTGAACAGATAAAAGAATTGGAACTCAAATGGTTTAACTAGTCATTACCAACTCTGATTTACTGCCAATTTTCAGAATTCAAAAGTATTGTGTCAATAGCAATTGGAATAAGTTCTGCTGCTAGGGTTTCAAAACGCAAACTAGTCATATTATTAACTGAAAGGCAAGGCAAGAAGCTGAGGTGAAAGGCAGTCAACAGAGCATAGCTGTTCTCTGTAAGACATTTACTGCTTTATAAGAGTGATGACTAACCTTTTCTGGACCGAGTGCCCAAAGCGCATGTGAATGAGCATGTGCATGCCTGAGCCCCCCTGGGCATGCACACACTGCCCCCCCCACACGCCCCCTGCGTATGTGCGGCAGAGACTCAAAAACCAGCTGGCTGGCAGGAGACATGCGCAGCGGAGCTGAACTGGGGCAACGGCTCGCATGCCATCAGAGAGGGCACTGCGTGCCACAGGTTCCCCATCACAGCTTTATAAGCAGCAGTGAGAAGTGAGAGAAAAGGGAGAGTGGACATCTTGCTTCTGGCAGCAGCTTGCAAAGTCAAATGTGAGCAAAACCTAGAGGGAGCTTAATTGTAAGAAAGAGAAGGATTGAGGATCGTGATATTCTCTTAACAGCCGCAGTAGGAAGAAAACTATTGTTCTTTTCCTCTTTACAGCATCAACCAGCAAAGAACCAAACTACCAAAAAAATGCATTTTGATCCTTGCAAAGCTCTGTCACCTCCAGATGGAACTGCTGAAAGTTCCTCAAGCCTGACCAACCAGGAGGTGCTTGAACCATGTCGATGAGCCTGTA